CGCCAACCCGAGCATCATGAGCTTTGCCAGGGACGGGCCACGCCTCAACGCGAGCATCAGCTGCGCTGGTTCTTGCCAAGGTTGGGCGACCACACCATGCCACCACGCCAACCCGAGCATCATGAGCTTTTCCAGGGACGGGCCACGCCTCAACGCGACCACACCACGCCAACCCAAGCATCATGACGCCACCACGCCAACCCGAGCATCAGGAGCATCAGCTGCGCTGGTTCTTGCCAGGGTTGGGTGACCATGCCACGCCAACCCGAGCATCATGAGCATCAGCTGCGATATTCTTGGCAGGGTTGGGTGACCACGCCACGCCAACCCCAGCATCATGAGCATCAGCTGCTGATGCAGCGTCAGCTGCGCTGGTTCTTGCCAGGGTTGGCCACACCACGCCAACCCGAGCATCATGAGCATCAGCTGCGATGGTTCTTGCCAAGGTTGGGTGCCCACACCCCGCCAACCCGAGCATCATCAGCATCAGCTGCGCTGGTTCTTGCCAGGGTTGGGTGACCACACCACGCCAACCCGAGCATCATGAGCATCGGCTGCGATGGTTCTTGCCAGGGTTGGGCGACCACACTATGCCAACCCGAGCACCATGAGCTTTGGGCGACCACACCATGCCACCATGCCAACCCGAGTATCATGAGCTATCATGAGCTTTGCCAAAGACGGGCCACGCCTCAACACTGGTTCTTGCCAGGGTTGGGCGACCACACCACGCCACCACGCCAACCCGAGCATCATGAGCTCTGCCAGGGACGGGCCACGCCTCAACGCGAGCATCAGCTGCGCTGGTTCTTGCCTCGACCACACCATGCCACCACGCCAACCCGAGCATCATGAGCTTCAGCTGTGCTGGTTCTTGCCAGGGTTGGGTGACCACACCACGCCAACCCGAGCATCATGAGCATCAGGGTTGAGTGACCCCACCACGCCAACCCGAGCATCAGCTGCGCTGGTTCTTGCCAGGGTTGAGTGACCATGCCACGGCAACCCGAGCATCATGAGCATCAGTTGCGATGGTTCTTGCCAAGGTTGGGTGCCCACACCCCGCCAACCCGAGCATCATGAGCATCAGCTGCACTGGTTCTTGCCAGGGTTGGGTGACCACACCACGCCAACCCGAGCATCATCAGCATCAGCTGTGCTGGTTCTCGCCAGGGTTGGGTGACCACACCACGCCAACCCGAGCATCAGGAGCATCAGCTGCGAGAGTTCTTGCCAGGGTTGAGTGACCATGCCACGCCAACCCGAGCATCATGAGCATCAGCTGCGATGGTTCTTGCCAGGGGTGGGTGACCACGCCACGCCAACCCGAGCATCATGAGCATCAGCTGCGCTGGTTCTTGCCAGGGGTGGGTGACCACGCCACGCCAACCCGAGCATCATGAGCATCAGCTGCCCTGGTTCTTGCCAGGGTTGGGTGCCAACCCGAGCATCATGAGCATCAGCTGCGATGGTTCTTGCCCGGGTTGCGCGACGACACCGCGCCAACCCGAGCATCAGCTGCGACGACTCCGCGCCACCCCGAGCATCATCAGCTGTGCTGGTTCTTGCCAGGGTTGGGCAGCATCAGTTGCTGGCAGTTGCCTTGAGCATTGCTGGCATTTGCCAGGGTCGGGCACCCACACCACGCCAATCCGAGCATCATGAGCATCATGAGCATCAGCAGCGCTTGTGCTTGCAAAGATTAGGCAACCACGACCCGAAACGAACACTACGGCCACGCAGCCCGAGCTCGATGACAAGTCAGGAGCATTTGCATTTGTTTGCGGGTTGCGGGACCCACCCGACCCAACCCGAGCATCATGAGCATCAGCTACACTGGTTCTTGCCGGGATCTCAACCATCTGACTCTTGCCCACAGTGGGTGACCACACCCGGCCAACCAACTCGAGCATCCGGAGCACAGATGGGCGTAAACTGTACCTTCGGCAGAACCAAGCAATTTCGGTGGAGGCCGAAGACGAAGGGTCCAAAAAGGGCTTCGAAGCTCTTTGGCTCTGAAGGGTTCGAGGCCCCCTCGAGAACGAGGGGGCTTTGCAGCCTTCGGCTTCCCCTTGGTCCTTACCGGAACAAGCAAGAGATGCGTTAAGCGGGTTCTTTGGGGCGGGCCCGGTCGTCGTGTGGCAGAACTGGTTCGACCTGCAGTTGCTGTTTCCGAGCTGTTACGACGAGCCGGAATCGACCTTTCTAAGCGCAGGCCTGGTAACATCCACTATCCTGGAAGACCGCCCAAGCTAGGTGAACAATTTGAGCCGCAATTAGTTGCAGGCTCGCACGTTGCCTGGCGCTGCTAGACCGTCTGGATGCAACGCCGGAGAGAGAGAGAGAGAGAGAGAGAGAGAGAGAAAGAGAGAGAGAGGCACCGCTGTCATTGGGACCCAAAGCCACCCACTCATTAACAATTGAGTGGATGGGCGGGCTAAAAGCCTGAGGGTCGGGCACGCCGACCCCTAAGCCCTGCAGAAAGAAAGAAAGAGAGAGAGGCAGGGGGAGCAATCCTCCGGCCCATAGCCCTGGCGAAAGAAAGAAAGAGAGAGAGCATTAGTCGTATCTTTTTCTCCTTAAACCGAGCATCCGTACTTTTCTACTGCCCCTACAAAGCCCCGAAACAGGGGTGCGCCTCACGGCGCGGGGTGCTTGACTCGCACCCTATGCCCCGGAGAATAGAATAGAATAGCATTAGTCGTACAGGTCCCCTACAGGGAAGACACGTGTACGCCTCTGTCTTTTATGCAGAGGCAACTCCGGGGGAGAAGACGCTGAAAGGCATTTTCGAGACGAACAGCACCGCGGCATCGACACGCTCGAAGGGGGTGGAGGTAGTGTACGAAACTATTCCAAGACTTGGCAGACTTATCAGTGCGTGCCGAGCTTTAGTTTCAATGTTCAAGTTATTTCGGTTCAGGCGGTTTTTGGAGTTATTATCCCGTATGTACCGTGCAGGGTGTTACGATGCTATATGGGGGTTTCAGAAAATAAGGGGTACCTTATTTTGGGGTCCTTATAATAGGGATCCTATTATTTAGGGTACTATATTAGGGTCCCCTATTTTCTGAAACCCCCATATACTAGGTGATGACACGTGCACATACACAAGCAAAACATGCGCGGCGCGCGCCTGGTTGGTTCGTCAAAACGTTGTATTTTTCTGCGCTTCCACCCATAGAAAGCGGCATAATCTTTGAGTTCAACCACATATGCCACATCAAGTAAGACTAAGGTTCGCTATCGTACCCAACCAGATGCCGTACATGGCAGTGGTGATGCGATGGCGAGCAACACATGGCAATTGTGAGCGGCACACGCGAGAATACCCGAAGTATTGTTGTCCGCAGTTCCTTCGAGTCACCACTGTAGTATGCATTCAAGCTTTTGTGCCGAGGGTTGTGTCATCTCGATTCCGCCTAAGCAGTACGCACGCAGAGGTGAGGAGCTGGGATCGCTGCAGCTGATGGCTGCTTGCACGTGTAGTAGCAAGAAAACACAACCCTCCGGGCAGCCGCAGCGCGAAAGAATCAAACGGCATCCTGTGTGCGAGTTTGAAGGCATTGGATGCTCCAGCCCAACTTTGGCCACACTGGCATGTTTTCCGCAAGCAGGGGTTGTGTTGGAACCTCAGTAGAAGCTTTGGCAAGCACTCGGGCTTTGAATTTGCCTCGCAGCTACGAGCGCTGGAGCAAGACCTCATACAATGCGCATGCGGAAAATCTCGCCGAAGACGCTCAGGCTCAGCCTCGAGCCTGTAACAGGAAGCCAAAGAGCCCAAATCCTACTGGCTTCCATCCCAAGTCCGTTCTGAGCTCCGGAGGATGGCGTCCTTTGCCTGTCTGTCAGCCGGATCAACCACTCCTGCTGGCCAAACTGCGCCTTGAAGAACAGCTAACTATGCAGACTCACTAGGTTGGGGTCCCTTCGTTGGTATGACCAAAACTCTTTTCGGATCGCGGAACATTTCGTGGGATGGGCTCATAGCTTTCATCGAAACAGAGGCGGGGCCCGGCGAGTCTCGACAGAATATTGGAAATCAAGCACTTGTGCCTCGAAAAGCCAATTCCAGGCAGGGAAGAAATGATATAAGATGTCATCTTCCACCGAAAATGTGTTCATGACCGGGCTTGTGCTGCTAAGGGTACAAGCTGAGGCGAGCAGTTCTGGGATGAGCAGCTGTTCCGTGAGAAGATCTTCGCCTGCAAGGACAATATGCTGTCTCAAGGTGGGTGGGCTAGGTCATGCGACGTGAAAGGATAGTTCGGAGATTTTCTCCTTCGCAAGATCAGGGGGTTGCGTGAGAACCGGCAAGAGCCCATGAGGCCATTCTGTTCGTTAACAGCACTGGGGCGGATGACGCCTGAGGATTTTCCAACCATGTGGGACCCTCGGGAAAGCCCGAAGCTCACAAGCACTTCAGAACATTAAAACCTGCTTTTCGTGCACGAGCAGGGGTATAGTCCATGTTCTCAGACGCATTTCTTTTCATGTGTGGGTTTCGCATGGCGTCAGGACATCCAAAAGGGTGAGGAGCATCTCGGCTTTTGGCTCTATGTGGTGGTGCGGGTTCTTGTTTCGGCCTTTGTTGATGCTGTTTGCACTATTTGCCTCTTCGCCCAGCCTTTCCATCTGCAGGCTTTGTATATCCTATGTGGAGCCGTACCTCCTCGCCGAGACTTTGTCTTTCTGAGTCTGTTGGGAAGCAGGCATGGAGACTTCGGAGGTAGCTGCTAAGTCGGAGTTCTATGGGTTCAATGAAGTCAAGAGCCTGGTAGACGCCATGCTGTGACATGTTCCCGCCAGACGAGCAAACACAAAGCGGTTTGACCAAGGAGGAGCGAGACGACATTTTCCGGCGCAGAGCCTCTGCCGGTGGGTCATTTCTGAAGGTTGTCCTGGGTTCCTGTGGCAAAACATGACACACACATACATCTCTGAGGCGGTTTTGTACTCGAGTTGCTTGGGCGCTTGACATTACTTTGGAACCCTTTGGAAGACCAGGTGCCTCTTCGTCGTAAAAGCGACTCTACCTCCTTCGGTAGTTTGCTGCATCGCCCGAGGATGTTTTTGGAAATAATCAAGAGGCTACATGTCTCTGCAAATTGCGGCGGTCGAGCATGGTCGAGCAGTTTTCCGAACTACGGATGACTGCAAACACCAAAGACGAGGCTGCTCTGCTTCGCCATGGTGTGTGTTATGCGTATGTGTACATATATACCTATACAGACAGACAGACAGACAGACAGACAGACAGACAGACAGACAGACAGACAGACAGACAGACAGACAGACAGACAGACTGACCGACATTCATTCATACATACATACATACCTACATACATACATACATACATACATACATACATACATACCTACGTGCATACATACATACATACATACATACATACATACATACATACATGCACACATATGTATATGTATACATATATATATAGTGTACCAACGATGAATGCCACACAACTACATGTTATGCAAACATAGC